GATATTTAATATTACTCACAAGAGTAAGAGTTCTCTTACACTTCAAAGAATGATCTTGCTATATTTGAGTATGAGAGCTGCAGAACATGAAATACAATCTTATTCTCAGACTTAATTAATTTCAAAGGTTCAATCTGCAGATTCAATGATGTACATATTATATACAGTTGACTGATAAGAAGAAAACAGTTCATACAATTCTATTAACTGATATAAGAAGAACATTTCACATCTCTGATATAGAAGAATTAAATCTGCTTACATATTAATAAGTAAAGAGAATGATTTATATGACCTCATTCAAAAGCATTCTGTATGTCATACAGAACCTGAAAGTGAAGAAAACTAAGATAAAGAATATATAAGAGAATAAGTGTATAAAGAAGCTTCTGAAGAAGTATAAAAAGATCTTCTGAACAGATCTTTCACTGAAATTATCACTGAAATGAGAATTTATACATGAGATTGATATGAGGAATGCAAAATCAGTCAATCAGAATACATACTCTCTATCACAAATATATCTTGAAGAACAGAAGTATCAGATCACAGATCTTCTAGAATATAATCTTATACAACTCTTATCAAGCATGTGAGACTTTTCAGTTCTATTCATAAAAAAGACAGATGAGAAGTGATGAATATGTATTGATTATTAAGTACTCAATAAGCTTACAATCAAGAATGAATATTCACTATTATAGATTCAATAACAGTTGAATACAGTTGAAAATATCTGATATCTATCAAAGATTAATCTTCTCTCAGAATACTGACAGATCTGTATAGATAAACTGTCAGTTCTGTGAACTGCATTTAATATACAATGAGAGAAGTTCAAATTTCTGATAATATTATTCAGTTTAACAAATACATCTATCATCTTTTAAATAATGATGAATACAATTCTTTATAAACAGAATGAAATCTCATATCTTATATATCTCAATGACATTCTAGTCTTTTCAAACTTATATAATGAATATCTGAAGCATCTTAATGAAGTACTTACAACTCTGACAGAGTATAAGCTCTATATTAAATCAATAAAGTGTATGTTTGAAACAGAAGAGTTGAAGTTTATAGAATATGTAGTGAGTGATAGCTGTATATATCTCATTCTGAAGAGATTGAATGTTATAGTGAATTAGTCACAGATGAGAAATATATATTATATATAACAGTTTCTTAAGTTAATCTCATATTATCATAGATTTATCAAGGATTTTACATGAATATCTGCATCACTCTCAGATCTCTTAAGAGAAATAGATACAAATCTGTGAAAGAAGAAGTTTTATTCAATTATCTGAAATACTGTGTGTGAAGAGGCTTTTCTCACACTGAGAGAATGTATAATAATATTCTCAGTATTTATTTAATCAGATCATGATAAATCTTTCTATATCAAGACAGATACATTTAAATAAGCTATCAGAGACACTCTTCTACAGATGAGTAAGAACAGCAAGCTGCATCTGATAATGTATAATGATAGAAAACTATCAGACATTGAGCTCAATTACTCAGTACATGAAAAGAAATTGCTAGTGATTAAGCATGCACTGATATTATAAGATAGATATATTAACAATGAGTATATAATAACAGTGATCATGAATTATGAAAGTCTTATCTATCTACAATCAATAACAAAACCTTTCAAATACTTAGTATATTGAATCTCAGAGTTTCAAGTGTACAATCTTCATATTAAATACTGAAAGAGATCAGACACTGTGATATCTGATACAATCAGTCACAGACTCAATTTCATGAGTGAGAGTTCTGTGAATCAGATATAAGAGAAGTTTACATTAAATGTACTGAGAAGATACAAGAAATCAGAATGAGTGAACATAATGATCTCTCACTTAAAGAATGACAAGATATTAGATAATAAGTATCTTATAAAAGTAGTAGAAGAGATGCTTCTGAACTTTAAGCTGAGAAAATTGAAAAATGATGTTATGCTTTACTATGATCTAGAATATACAGAAGCTCTCTATCTAGAACATTTATTTAGACATAACTTGATGACTCACATGCACAAGGAATTCAGTCACTTAGAAAGCTCTGAACTCATGAATATACTTGAATCAAGAGTATACTAATCAAGCATAACTGAGAACATTCAGATGTATACTCACAAGTGTCTGAATTATCAGATTGTGAAAGAATCTAAGAAAGAGTTAAAATATGAGAAAGTATAACATCAGATGAAGTATATAATACAGCTGTTTAAATAATGAGAGATAAATCTCATAGACATATTATCATAAATGTCAAATGAAAATTGATGAATAATTACTGCTATTAATTATGCTACTGACTGATCAGTTATAAAAGCAGTTTCAGAGATAACAGAGAAGATAGTAACAAAGTTTCTACACAATAAGATCTATATCAACTATAAAATGCTGCATGAGATTCTAACTGATAATAGTGCAAATCTTATAGAAGAAGCAGTGAGACATTTTATAAGTCAGTTACAGATAAGATATTATACAACAATGTCATATCACTTACAGATAAATAGAAAAGTGAAATACTTGAATGAAATCTTGAGTAATATGCTGATAAAATATCTAGTGAGCAAGTCTACAAGATTATGAAATGAATATCTCAGTCAGATACTATTAGTCATGCGAATTCAGTAGTATGTAGTCTTCAAGTATTTATCATTCTATCTGTTGTATAGATTGCATCCGCACATCTCAGAGAATACTTCAGAAAAGGTGAGAAAGAAAACAGCAGTTACAGACACAGTAGTAGCAGTTGCAGACACAACAGTCACAGATGCAGAATTAAGATTGAAAGAGATCAGTCATGCACATGTAAAAGCTAATGAGTTACTTCTGAATCAAGCAATTCAATCAAAAAGAATACAAGACTCACTAGTTAAGAAATCAAGTCTCAAGATGAGAATATGAGTTCTCATATATAATGAGAGCTCTGAGAAGTTTCAATCTAGATGATTTAAACTCTATAAAATACTCAAATCACATTCTCTGAGAATATATGCATTGAAAGAATCAGAGAGACAGATCTTACATAATTTAATAAATAATTCATATCTTATGAAGACAAAGATATAAGATCTGAGCAGATTATAATCATCTACAGCACTCTCATCAGTGTTAAAGAAGAAGAGACTTATAATTGAAAAGTCTCACAAAGTAAGAGAAATCATAGATACTTATAAATCAGATAATCTCACTTATTCTGATCTTTTCACAATTATAAGAAAAGAATGAGAAGAAATGAAGAAATCAGATGAATATCACACTTTAATAAGTAATAAGACTGTAGTCAGTTGTATAATAACATGCTACAGATAGTAGACACAACATAGTAAAGAGCAGTCTCAAAGTAGCAGACTTATACATGAATCAGATTATAGAAGAAAAAAGAGATTCAGAGTTGAATTTAACTGTTTACATCAGTTCAATCACAGAGACAACAGAGGATGAATCATCTAAAATATTCACAGATATATGAAATTAAGTCATCTTGATCTCTGAAAATACTCAGAGATCAGATGAGATTAGTTTTAATGAGCTGTTCACTGTAGTAATCTAAGCAGGTGAAGAGAGACAGTATAATATGTGAGACAGAATTACAAAAAGATAGAAGCTGCTGAATCTAGTCACTGAATACTGTATTATATAGAAATTATATAAGAGTAGTGACTAGCAGACAAAGAAAAAGTGTAAGAAAAGAAAAGAAATAATTAATTAATTATCAACTGTAAGAGTTGTCTGTAAAAGATAAATATTATTATATACATCTCATTCATTTTCATACATCATATGTTTAATCTATTTCTAACATCATATCACTTGAAAAACACTAAAAAATAAAGAAAATCTCAAAACTCAAGATCTGTAAGAGATTTGAGAGCTGTAAGTCACTCTTATAATAATACTGTGCATGTCTTCAATTTCTCTACTACTCTGTGTATAACATTAATATCATTTATTACAAGATTGACTGGAATGTCAATATAGAAATACATACACATATGTGTAGAAAAATTGAAGAAGAGCATAGAATCTGCAGAATCAGAAGTTAGAGCAGAGAAGACAGAGACAGAAGAAATAGAAGAAGAAGAAGATACAGAATCAGATAAATAACAGCAGAAGTTATCTGAGACTGAATACTTATAATCTGATATGCACACAATCTTCTCTGTAGAGAAGGAAGAGAAAGTGATAGAAGAAGCTTAAAGATGAAAGAGAGTAGTCTCAGCAGTGTTATCATCTTTGATTAGAATAATCTCTGACACTGAAGTAACTAAGAATCATTATTAGTATATAAAAATTGCAAAATCAGAGATGAGAATAGTTACTGAATGAACATCTACTGATCTTAGAGTTGTATATATAATTACAACACATACAAGACTTCTCAGAAAGAGAGAGAGAGATACAGAGAAATGCAGAAAGTAGAATATAGTATACAAATGACTCATTTTCATAACAACATTTCAGATAAGATGTATGAGTTTTATATCTGTAAGTGTAAAAGAGTATGATATTCATATTTCTATTTCTGAAAACACAGATATTCTTCATCTGTATTATAAAGTCAGATGACAAATATCAGAGAATAGACTGATATAGATTAATTATTTTAAAGATATTAGTTAGAGCAGATGTATCTGTAATATTAAATTTAATAATTATAAAAAGTTTCTTAATATCTGTGAATATCATAACTTTGTGTATAATAAAACTTATAACTATTTTCTCTAAGAACAGAAAAATCAGCATCAGAAAGAAAAGATGAAAAAGAAAAAGACTTATAATTGTAACACTGTTGAAAGAGAGAGTGATTCTCTGATATAAATGAATAATTATCTCATTATAAATATTTAAAATGAATATAATAATTAGTGTTTATAACTGAGCTTCAGATAGTTATGTTATATACAGTCTTTATACAATAAATTGTTCTAGAAGTTGATAAGAAGAGTGAGAGTATATATACTAAGAAACATGATTTATTAAGTCTACATAACATCTTCTTGAAATGGGGAGAGCTGATAACAAAAGCAGAGACAGCAGAATCAGAGAGAGCAGAAGTAGCAGAAGTAGAAGTCACAGAAATAAAGATAGCAGAAGTGGGAGAATCAGACACAGAGATAGATGTAGAAGATTGAGAAGAAGCAGCAGAGAAAGAAACAGAGAAGACAGAGAGAGATATGAGAGATCTGACTATATATAACATAAGCAATTTCTTCATTATCATGTTCTTCAAGTTCTTAATCAATGATTCAATATTGAGTTCACTATCATCAGTGAATGCAGATCTGTCAACATGTGAAGATTCTATATAAATAAAAACAAACATATCAGTATCTGTATTCATGTAAAATTGTGTCAGAAAACACAATCAGAAACTCACTGAGAAGAAAAACAGTCAAGAGTGTATGAGAAGATGAAGAAGATGTATCATTTATAATAATACATTCTGACAATTGTTAGAAGATAAACAAGTTCTGATTATATATGTTTCACAATATGTTACACTTACTGCTAATGAACTGTCTGATATGAGCACTATGATAACACTTGTTATGAGAATGAGAGATCATTACCAGAAACATGTATAATATAATAGATAAACAAATAGAAGATATTGAACAGAAGAAGAAGCAGTAATCTTGAATGAGATAATAATGACATTTAATGATAATGATGATGAAGAAGATGATTGAAGAATGAGAAAAGTTAGTGAATGAGTGATGTAATATAGTGAAAGTTTCTTTATAAGAGTGTATATGAGATGCTAGCTGAATCAGAAATAGGTTACATGATCATGAACACTAGTGGCACACTAATCTGCATGAAGCTAGAGTGAACATCATAATCACATGAGCATGACTGAATCTGATGAGAGAGAATATGATTCAGAAGAATGTATAACTGTTGAATAATAACACAGCCACTTCTGAACTTGCTTATGAATGTAAAGAAGTCATAGCGGCCATTAATTAATTTAGTGTATAATATATAAGAAGCCAGCGTACGCCTGTAATTATACACTGACTCAAGCAATCTTTGAATCACAGTTTTATCTGATTTTCAGTTGTAATCAATGTATATAAGTTCTGTTTTAAAGTTAGTATTATAGTTCTATGTAATATAAAGTATTATCAAAGATTATTACTTACTAGAGAATTGTATTTCACTGTCTTTACATCTTTAATATCTGCTTATTCAAATCTCTGATAGTTAACATTATAGTAGTCTCAGATTAATTTAATATATAAGTCTTATTTCTTCTCTATTTAATCTTGAGAAGTGTAGATATTAACTTGATAAAAGAGATCTAGTAAAGCTGCTATAGCATAGTACTCTGTAAAAGATTGTTCAGTTTTGCTGTAATAATATACTAGTTTATTTCTTGCAGTAATAATAGTCTGTGCTATAGTATTATCTCAGACTGAATTTCTTTTTAAGTGATTTAACTACTTCTTAAGATAAGTAAATAAACTGTTATATATTCATCAGACTGACTGCAGTATTAATATATAAGTAATTAAGACTGTCTTCATTATCTTATAAAACTGAAACAGTAAATTAATTATATATTTTAACTAAGTTCACTTCATATTAAAAAGTTTCAATGTCTGAATCTTTTTCTAATCAGAGTATTACACTCAATGATTAATTATCTAATGTAATCAAAGAGTCTGAATAATTATCTTATATATTAAACTTCACTATATTTTAACATTCTGTATCATATTCAGTGATATGACTGATTTATTTATTTATTGAATATCATGAAATCATTATTATTATTTAAAGAATATATAAATTATATTAATAATATTTCAAATCTGCCCATTTTTAAATTATTAGTCAATCTATTCAAAATTAACAGTAG